TTACGTGAAAAATATTTAGCAATATAAATAGCGGGTAAAATGCAAAATGCCTAGCATATTTCGATCGTAGATGAAAAAGGAAAGCAAGGAAATGCGACGAAACCCAGGCAGTGTATTTTCGGACACAGCAAATATCAAAATGCTGTAAGCTACGCTGAAGCGCAACGAAGTTGCACAATGCCGTGCAATAAGAGGAAGTGGAAAACCACAGAAAACAGATGTCAATTTGCTAAAACAGTACGACCCTTCCACTCGAAAAAAAAGCTGGTAAATCAAGAAATTCACTTATCGGCTTAAAAGCTAACAGAATGAAAAGGAAGGGCGATAGAAGCCCCGCAAAAATTAGTCATGCTGTCAAGATTGCTAAATCTCGATTTCGCAATAATTGTATAAAATTTGTATTTTTCTAGTTATCTTTTGACAAACATGTGAATATTTACTTCTTTTTGTACTTTATTTCCTTCCGCGTAGCACTGTCCTCCTCATGCACTTTCGTCTTCAATAAAGGAAGATGCTGGGCCGACAGATTTTACGACGGCGCTTATCCCTCCCTTTCTCTTTTTTATCATTCAAACGGATTCGACGACCGAGGAGGGTGGATCGACGACGACGGATGGCTATGTGCGACGAAACGACCAGGCATCATTGCCTTTCTTCCAATATTTTTTAATGCGTGTCATATTCTTGCTTTTATGTGTATTTGCTCGTGTCGCGCATATTGTATGTATATAATAAAGATTATATTACACAAGTTTGAGGTAATCGACGATACAACGAGTGGGTCTGCGGTTGGCTAATACTGTAAGTCGGAACAACGTTAGCTGACCAAAGAATCAACGCCTGGTGGTATTCACTCTGTCTGCTGGCCGCCGAAGTCGGGGAATTTAGCAATATCTGCTGGCAGTATAATTATCCAACTAGCGCGCACTGGAGATAATTGAGGACACGAACCCGAAATACAATTATTTGTTGTGGGATAAAGCGACCTGAGGAACCAACAAAGCAGTTTCTCCTCCACAACACATGCCAAGCAGGATTGACAAGAAGGTCCGAGCTGTAAATTGGTGTTATTCGGCCGTGAGTAGACCGAAACTTACCTTGTAAAGCAGTGGACCATGCTAATCGAAGAAAATCCAGCATACCTTGCTATTTAAGGCAGAAAAGATGGAAATTAGTGTATGGCAATATCAGAGAAGACAGTTGTGAAGATAATGTGGTAGAAACCGTATGACATGTAAAGTAGTCATGTATCTGAAGTATTTAGGGTAGTCTGGCTGTGTTTCATCCCTGAGCTGTAAACACGGACAGTGTGTGACGTGTGGTTAGGGGTGGGAATCATCAGTACAGCCGCCTAAACACCTAGGAAAAATCTAAAGCCAGGAGAGTCAGTAAGTTGATGGACAGGCGACGCTGCGTTGTATGAAACAACTAGAAAGTTCCTAGCTTAAGAACCTCACGAAACATCACTGTTCAAAATATTTGATTCTAAAAGTCTGTCTTTAAAAAAAAAAAATTCCACTTACCGCAAATGGATTTTCCCTCATGGAGCGTGACTTTGGGTCGTAGTACGGGCCATTTGGGTCCAAATTGTACAGATATTTCGCTGTATCCTCTCTACAAAAGCCAGAATTCAAAACTCACCTCAGTTACAGAAAGAAATTAAAATTCATCCGCTCAAAAGCTGCATAACATTACCTTATTCGCAGATTTCTCACAGTAATGCGTGTACGTGAATCCATGTCAACTGTTACGCCTGCCATATCGGCATCATCCGCATACATATCCTCGTCCGCTTGCTCTTCCACCTTACCACCACTTCCTTCGCCTGTTTCACTTTCTTCTTTCATCTACAAAGATTATGAAGAATATTTTTATTTCCTATTTATTTTCCCCTTTTTTATCGTTCTTTTCTTAAGTTCTCTTTCTCTTTTTTCCTCTCTGAACATACTGACGAGGTCCAGTCGTAGTCATACTGACGAGATCCAGTCGTAGTCATACTGACAAGGTCCAGTCGTAGCCATACTGACGAGGTCCAGTCGTAGTGTTGAGCTAAGACGTTTATGACTTTATGGAACGAAACATCTTAACTCACCATTTTCATATTCATTCATACTTAATTCTCCCCAGCTTTCGCTCCCTATGCTCCTAGGATCTATTTGTACGCCACAATCAGCTAAGATAGAACACTAAAATGTACTGCAGCGCTTTATCAAAGTAGATATTTTCAGGACGATGGCCATGATAAAACAAGCGTCGCTTGAAATACCGCAGCGACATTCAACGCGTAAATTTAAAACATTTTATACGGTTCAGGGAGATTGGTTACTCCAAAATCTCATAGAAATTCAATCCGAAAAAATTCGCCAAAGCCATGCAAAACTACCGGAAAACTAATGAAAATCAGTAAATTGGCAATGTCTAAGCCCCCAATATGCCCCTAATATATGTCTTATTGAAGCCTAATATATGCCTAAGCCTCTAATATATGTCTTACTGAAGCCTATCTGGGACTGCTCTTACAACTATTACCAAATCAATCTGGTTACAGATAAGTTGCCCCACTTGGATCTGAACTGAATGCACTCCATACTACAGCCAAGTTTACATCGAAAATCATTAGAAATTCTCACGAAATTCTCATGAGTTGCCATAAAATTCTCGTAGGAATAATCTAAGATTCCAAAAAATCAAAAAAAAAATACCTTTTCTTCCCTGAGAAGTTTTCTTGTTTGTTCCAATTTTTCATGTTCCTCGACGACTTGCTTGTAGGTCTGTGGGTCATATCCGTTCCATCTGTCTCGTTTTGCTTCCCAGTCAAGCGTTAATTTTGGCTGAAAAATGTTGCTTTAAATGCATAAAATGATTTGATCTTACAAAAGAAGCGATGAAAAACCCAAGAAATATCACAGAGGCGTTGTTCCGACACTCCTAAACCACCAACTGCATTAGTGGTCACCTGTCGTTCAAATTGCCTTATATCTTTCAATTTCGCGTTCACCCCCTCCCCCTTTTCTTTCCCACCCACATTCCCCCTTCCTTTCTTTTTTTCCAGTAATATGCCATGGTTTCAGCTCCGCCCAATTAGTAATTTTAAAGCAACGGGCACCAGAAAAGGAGCCCGGAAGAGAGACAACAGATGGACAACGCGGATAACCAATTGGTTTGGCACTAACTAATGAATGCTCCTGTTGCCAAGGACCGATAATTTTATACTGCCAGTGCGAAAACTAATCCTAATTCTATATCCTAATCTATTCTAATCCGAAAACTATTCTAATTCTACATTCTATATTCTAATTTTATATCATTTTCATTCATTCCTATAACAAACTGTACTGGTCCGTTCCAGAATGCGCCAAATAAAGAAGAATGGAGAAGTTGCCCGCTGCTGCATCAATGGCGAGATGAAATGGCGAACACGAAAAAACACCTGCCGAAAATATTAAGATTTAAACTGGTACCTGCATATATTCGTCCGGTGCGATATCCTCGTTTGTCCATTTCGCGCCCACTTTTCGTGGCCTTTCCAAACAATCTTTCTTTTGATGCGTTAGCGCGCCACAGTTTTCACAGGCTCCCTAAATAGGCAACAATTTGACAAGTGTTCATTAAAACTTCCCTCACCCTCCGCCCCCCCCCCCCCCC